TTGACAAAACCAAGGAAAATAGCTTACCTTCTGCCTTACGTTTCGACCTCGAAAACTTGTAGCCAAACGAATCGTAATTGTAACAGTTATTGCAGAAAGCCTCCAAAACTGGAGAACTCAGACTACGTTTAGGAGCTCACTACGTTACTATGACACCGCCCCCGGATCGTGAAGCAAAACGAATTAGAATCTTTGTTAAACTCTCAGCGAAGAAAACCTGGCAAACTTAATGTTTTCTACTTGCGAGAATTCGGAAGTTTGCGAAGCTCAGCCATAAACTTACTGCCGTTTTGGCTTTGTATTTATTTTTAGACCTACAGTCAGTTCCTTTTTGTTAATAAACTAGATGAGAAAGGTGCATGAAATGTCAAAACAAGAGATCATGTTCTCTTAGATGTGAGACTTCTTAATTTTCTCTTATTCGGCCGGCTTATATCCTTCTTTGATTAATGGTAACGACATCATCGTAACCTGCTGGTTGTAGTCTTGCTTTTTGAAGTTTAGAAATTATTGCGATGAGAAAACCTTCTCCCCACAATATCACTTTAGTGTTATTCTTTCTTGTAGCTTACAAAGAAGGATGCGATAATCAGTTGGGAGAAAGAGCATTAAGATCTTTTGGATGATAAGAAACTTGGTGACATAAATGCTTCTGCATCATCTTATTTTACCGCACGAAAGCGAAGAATGAATAACTTTATTTAACCGCGATAGAATATTCAGCGTGTCCGGTGGGGGCGTGCACTTAAGGAGGAGGGAATTCTGGCCTTGACTTTTCAATTTCCTCGTCACAGTTTTTTTTTTTTTTTTCTATTTATTTATTTTTTTTATCGTTCTTCATAAACACTGAAATTCATTGGGCGTGTCAAGCGTCAACATTTAAGCATAACAGAATCCTCTTTGTAGCTAAATTTTGACACACTTATTGAAATAGGTCAGAGTATTTGTCACCTAAATAGATCAAATAACAAACATACGTTTTGTGACCATTTGTTGGTGGGCGAGTGAGTTAAGATGTAGAAAATATTTTTGAGTAACAAGGAGGGAATATAAGAAGGCGCCTTAATTATCTTGGTAAGCATTATAGGAGCGCGAAAAAGACTAAAGCTTATAAAGTGAAAAGGAAAAAAAACAAACAAACAAGACAAAAACAAGACCAGGAAAAACAAACAAAGAAACCGACGCAAAAACAACGCCAAGAACTGCCACTGCGGAAAATTTGTACGGGCTCAAAAACTCAAAGCATAAATTTTTCAATTTCGTCATTTGTAACACGTGTTAACAGAATAATCTGGCAATATGAATAAGACTGTCACGTAACACCCTTGCAAACGAGTAGGTGCCAATTAACCAACAAGAGAAAAACACCCAGAAATTCATGTCTACGACACCAAGATCTTTCTATTTGCATCTTACTGTCACAGACCACTTGGTGTTAAACGTCTGTAGAACAATAATCAATTATCGTGTGGTCTGATCATCTGGGCGAGTGTAGTCCTAAGAAGGACTGTTGTCGGTAGTGGTGACTGACGTTTCGATATCCTGAGCAAGAGTCATCATCAAGTGAGTCAAGTGAATAGTTAGGCAGGGGTCGCACTGTGGCCTTATTTATTTTTATGTCGCGTCATAAGTTGTCCTACAAATATGTCGCGACATTTACACCACGGGAGTCATGGAGGTCGCACTTGTGCGACAGAAATGATATTTGAAACCAGACTGTCAACTCTTAATATTTCACGCGCGAAAAGAGCACCAAATAAAACTTTGTAGACATGAAGCTGGTGCTAGTTTTATTAGCGACATTTCTTCATTCTCTGTTTAATTTGTTCAATCTACAAAACCTTATTGATTTGTACGCATTGTAAAACACTCGCCACCGGCAATTGTTGGCTCTTGCCGCGTTAAACCGACGTCGACGGATGCGAAAAAATGGGAAAATATCTGCGAGCCAAAGGGTGAAAAGAAGCCATTCCCATACTGAAAATAATCAGGTGAATAGTGCAAATTTGTAATTTGGTATGGGTTGAAGTTCGCCATAGGGACCAGATTTCTACCAACAGCAGTCCTTCTCTGGGGCGGATCCAGGGGTGGTTCGGTCGAACCCCCTAAATTATCCCTGACTGTGCTGGAAATCATGTTTCCGAAGACCTAATTTTCAAAATCTCCCGGGGGAGCATGCCCTCGGGCAATTCTCCGGACCCCCCTTGACTAAATCCTGGATCCGCCCCAGCTTCTCAGGACTACACTCACCCAGACTACACTATCGCGTGTTACCCCCGGGTTCAAACCATTCACTGTAAAATGTTTAGTGTCACCACCCAGTGGGCAACATTCGAGATGGTTTACTGAGAAAGTGAGGTGTTCTCTACATGAATTCATTTAAACTCAGCTTAGGCACAAACGTTTAATTTAATTGTCACTAAGGAGTAGATTTTAAAAGGAGCGTTCTTTCTGGAATTGATTTTATCAATTAAAAGAAAAAACAGTTAAGATAGTTATTAAGGTGAAGAAATCAGTCCTTTTGAGAAAGCTATCGTAAGATCCCGTCATAATGCATGGAAACCCCATAAATCGGCTAATGTTTTTCACCGTTTAGTACACCTGGACTATTACGCGCTTTCCTGTGGGAAACATCGTGCAAAAGAAAGAGGATTAATTGAATTTTCCCTTGGAAGCCACCTAGTTCATGGGGCTTTTCAAATATCTGCAAGGTGTTCTTTTGTTTGCGTATGAGAGAATTGCCTTTAATTATAACTTTGTATTTGTGTCTTGAAAGCAAATAAATATCGCCGGCCGATTCTGGTTCCCGGTCCCTGTTGAATGCAGCGGCGTAAAGCTGACAGAATGCAATTTCCGTCGTTAGATTAAGATAAAGTTCAGTATGCAAACTGGTTTTAAACGCCAGTAAAGAAGATTTTTATTATGGCTGATCTTAATGTGAAATACAGTAGAGCAGAAAACGGAACAGACTCGGCGGACATTGACAGTGGCGCCGAAATGGTCGATTACGTGCACCGTAAAAATGGTCTGTCCAAACTGGAGAAGTTTCTGCTTGCATCTACAGTAATTCTCATTTTTGTTTCGTCTGTTTTCGCCGCCTTATATTTGTCTGAGCGACACAATAGAAACTTGGTTAAAGAGACTTCTTCCCCGGAAAATGGAGATAAAAACTGCAAAGCCACTAACGGAACTGAAGAAGAAAAGAAGAATAAAACCGGTGTGTTGTCGGGCTGCGATTTGAATCCAAACTCCGCGAATTGTTTAAATGAGGTCACTAAACTGGCTGCCGTTGGTAAGAAGTCTTTCATAACAATAGCACTTAAAAATCTTCTCCGCCGTATTCTTAATAGAGATGTGGGCGTATTTATTACTTACAGATGAGGTCTCTCCGGTAATTGTCGTCTTTTGTTGACCGATCAACTCTTTCTGCTTCATGTCGCAGATAACTGTGGACTTTAAACTTTTATGAATCGTATAGTGGTGATGTAGAAAGTTATGGTTCTTTTTTATTTTAAACTAAATCACGCAAAACAGAGTTTGTTCTTGAGTAGTTTGGGCACAGATGTTTTACCTTCTCGATGGTTGTTTAAAATTTAATGAGATGAAAATATATTTTTATCTCTCAGTTCTTTGAAATATTTTACAAACTTTTCATTACTTTCGATGCGCAATAGGATTTCACATTTTCAGCTTTTAAGTTCATTCCAGTTGCCGAAATAAATTTCGTCTTGGGAAACTCCATTGGAAAGGTTATGTTTGACTTTTTTTCGTTGATGACATTTACAACAGGTTCAGTGAGGTGTCTCTGAATTCAAAATTTGCATAACATTTTCTAACCGTACATTATGCAGTAATGAAAACAGTGGAATAATTGTTTAACCTTGTCAATGGTTCTGTCCCAAGAATCAACCTTACGTACTCGATTGCTGTAGACACGTCTTTCACTGATCCTCTTAATTTGTTAAAGATACGTTCAACTGTATTTTACACTGGCCATTGACCGAACTTTTTTAAATACATCGATCTTCCAATCGTGATTCTCGTATTGCTCTAACAGGGATGACTTTAGATGAAAATAAATGAGTTGTGGCGTAAATAAAAAGCTCCTGAAAAATTTCATAGTCTAAAGGCAACGAAATGTTTTTGTGTTAGAAACTTTTTTTCTCCAAAGGCGCTCAGTACCGTTTTCTTTCTTCATGATATTGGGGAGCTTAAGCCTTCATAAGAATTTAGCCAAAGCCTCTTCTAATTACCGTCGTAAAAGGAGGCAGAACATAATAAGGAAAACAGTGTTGAGTTCCAAATAGTACTACGACTGATCTGCCGTTGGTGTTCCCGTTTTCAGACTACTTAAAATGTGATGATTTTGCGTTTGTTTTAGCAGAGGACAGCAAAGCGATATACAAAGCTTCAAAACGCACGTGCATAGCTATTTTCCCTGCTTGGCTTTGCTTCAAACAGTAAACAAATTTAATTTCACTATCCGAACTTTAAAACCTTTACGTAAGGTGTAGCATTCTATAAGTACCTCTCTCAAATGAAGGGCAGACGATAAATGAAAACAATGTGGAAGTAGACTTAACATTCAGTCAACAGGGGAGATTTCATGTTTGTTTCATTCGAGAGGGTTGCGTAGAATAAAGAGGGTAAATTTCTAATGAAACGGTGAGGTTATTACAAGATAATGGTTTTATCAACTGAATTAAAGTTCACGCGACTCGCATGCGCGTGCTTTGGGATTACGTAGGTTAATGATATCGTAAGCAAATCACTTGGATCTTTTTATTTTTGGCGTGTGCAATTTTCTTAGAAAAGAGTTGAAAGTTTTCTTAGTTTGTCGAGTGGCAGTTTGTTTCACGGTCGCTGTCGTTTACTGTGAGTTTGCGGTTTTCCGTGGTGGAATAAACGTGTTTGTTTTGATTTTCCGTTTCACTTCCAAGCGCCCGTCTCCTTTATTTCCTTTAATCATTGTATGTAATACTGTTTTTTTTGGTTTTCAGAAATAATTGGAGCAATGAACGCAAGTGCGGATCCATGCGACGATTTTTACGAATACGCTTGTGGGACTTGGATGAAAAAGAATTCTATTCCAGAGAGCAAGTCCTCCTGGAGTCAGTTCCGCGTTCTTTACCAAAGTAATGAAATGGTCATGAAAAGGCTAATCCTCGACGATAACGATGCTACACGAGCTAAATATAAAGACGTAAGTAACTGCATGCGTTTCAGGGATTTCTTTTTAACACTGATTTCCAATGCTGTTTCACAGCTGTTTAGGAGAAACGTTTGCCGTGGCTAAGCAATCCAATGTGAGATTTTTACGCAATTCTGGCACGTTAGCTGTGCCTCGTTTAGGGTTAAAATATTGCATCCTGTCTTTCGCCTTGCTCTTTTCTCATCCACTTTCAGAGTGATATGCTGTTTTGAACAGGTAAATGTGTTTTGCCCACCCGGCCCCTCCCTTCTTCTTCAGGTCGCTCTACCACTGGGCAGTGCCTTTTGCATCTCTGCATCTAGTTCAAACTGTATCGAACAAATAGTTTCTTTTTTATCATTGAACAACGAAATCTGACTTTTTTTATAAGGGAATAAATATATTAAATTTGCATTAAACAAATTGTTGCCATATTTTGACTTTTCTCGGTCTTATTTCATTTCATTATATTTCATACGTTTATTTGTAGAACAAAGCTGTCATGAAAGGGTTCGACATGTTTGATTCCTGCATGAATGAGGACAAAATTGAAGAACTGGGTACAGAACCACTCTTTGATTTGATCAAGGAGTATGGATCCTGGAATGTCACCGACGGAAACTGGACAGAGGACTCTTGGGACTTCATGGAAAATTTCGTCAAGATTCAAAAGTATTTGTCGATCGCACCTCTCTTCAACATGTATGTCTCAGCTGATCTAAGAGATTCTACAAAAAATATCATTGTGGTGAGTGACCCATTACCTTTAAGATCGGAGGATTTATCAAAAAATTCTAATAATGATGGCAAATTACTTTAATTTCTTTTTCTCACGACTATACAATTACTTGTGGTTCTCGTTCTAATTTCTTATCCATAAATGAAACTTCTCTTGTTTTGTCTATCAAATAGCCTTAATCCCCGTCACCCCTTTATTCGTAGAAATTATTTAAGTTTGGTTGTATTTTATGTCGGACGTTTTCAGCTTGACCAGTCTGGAATTTCCATTTCACAAGAAGGTTTCCTAAAGAATACATCTTACCATGTAAAGGTGGGTGCATTCCTGATTTCAAGTTGTAAAGCATTCGGGAGCATAATATAGCTGAGCTTCGAACAATGATCTTCCTGATATGATCGCCGCTTTTTGTAGCTTTTCTCATGACTTGAACCTACACAATTTATTTTCTCTCATTAGGTACGCACAGCGTACAAAAAGCTCATGATTGATGTTGCGAACCTTCTCACCGGCAACAATCCAAACACAGAAGCGCTGATGAGAGAAATTTACGATTTCGAAGAATCTCTTGCTAAGGTGGGTGGCACCGTCACTTTCAAAACACTTTACACGGTCTTCACATGGTCGTTTTCTTCTTTCCTTGATAAACGATGTGTTTTGTCTACGGATTGACCTTTGTTGAGAATCATCCTGGCCCGACCAGTATTTTGTGAAAAACGTTTCTTATTGAACTTGGAAGACTGAACCAGAAGAAGAACGAGAGAGAGAGATGTCGGCGAGATATCTTCTGCAAGGTCACATGTGCCCATTAAGAGAATCTTCGGAACTCTTATCTCATTCAAAAATAAGTTATTGTCGATCCACTCATCGTTTAAGATCCATGACAGTTAATCAGCGATCCAGTGGATTTTTCCAACATCCGTTAGTCAACTCAAGTAATCTCTGACCTCAGTAGTCTGTTTGTTGTTTATAATCTTTTTAGAACATCCCTCATCTCCTCTGTATTCCTTGAGAAGACAACTTGTGGTCATTGGTGAAAACTTTCGCACTTTTCTTCTTTTAGACATTCATTCCCAGAGAGCAACGAAGGGACACCAATAAGATGTACAAGAAGATGAAGCTTAGTGATTACATCAAATCTGTTGGTAATACGGTGAGCGTTTATATTAGAGTGACAATGTCCAGTTCTGGCCCTATCGCTCTCAACATCTGTGATCCAATGTAGGCAAATATCATGTTATCAAGCAATTTTTTTTTCGCTCTGTAATTAGTCTAGAGACTCCTGCCACTCTCTAAACCATTTACACCAGAACTGAAATCAATCTCTTCTTCATCACTCGTCTCCTCCCC